CCATCACATCGGGTGCATCTCGTTCTACAATTCAATACAATACTCCTTTCGAATCCATTTTCTAACTCTAGTAAATAAATCAAACTCAAAATATTAAATTCTAAATCAAAAATTAAACTGAAAATGTCAAAATTGCTCAATTGAATTCACTAAATTCACACAGAAATTTCACCATTATTATTATTATTGTTATTATTATTATTATTATTATTATTATTATTATTATTATTACTATTATTATTATTACTCTCATGACTGTTAATAAGATTACTACAACTACTATTATTATGATAATAATAATAATAACAATAATAAGAACACAACCACCGAAATCAACTCACGTTTCTCGATGCACTCCTTCTGCACTACCGTAATCGGTCCAGTAATTACCGTAATCTTGCACGAATGCATCCACACTTTCAACCTCTCCGCACCGTATTTCGCATAGTACATTGCCATAAAGTCTTCTGCAAATATTTATCATCAGCTTTAAGCCTTTTCAAACATTAAAAACCGACTTACATGGTAAAAACCAATTGAAAATGCTAGAAAAACCGGTAAAAATGGCAAAAATGGTTTAAAAAGGTTCAAAAAAAACCTTTCTCAATGCATTCCTCAATAACTTGCGGTATTTCGCAGACCGTGCAGAGCATGTTCTCTTGGAATTGCACATTCTTCACGCGATAGCACGCAACCTCGAGCTGACGACAGAACTCCGCACCGTATTTCTGTATGCACAACGCTTTCGGATTCGGTTTGAGTCGTTCTGAAATGGTTTTTTTCCCTTCTAAATCGGTAAAATACTCCCAAAAAACCATCCCGGTAAAATAACCTTTCATATTCCGGTAAAAAATCACCAGTTTATGTTGCGGAATACACCTCAATCCGTTGTAATTTCAAGGCAACTCGGTATAAATCCCAATCTCAAACTCCGTATAAATCCCAAACAAATCCCAGACTTCTTGACTTAACTAACCCTCTTGAATGCATTCCTTTTGTACTACCGTAATCGGACCATTCCATACCGTAACCTTGCATCTAGTCATCCATCTTTTAATCGATTTCATACCATATTGTACGTGTAGTACCGCGATATAATTCTCTGAAAATCACCCAAAATTCACTCAAATTTTTGCTATTTTTGAGGATTTGAGAAAAATTTTCGCATTTCACGATGTCAAAATCACCGAAATCTCTTCATAATCACTCTGAAATCATATCAATCTTGCTACCTTACAAATCCACCAAACTGCTCACACCAAAATCTATCTAAATCCCACCAAACCATTTACAAATCCGCAAACTTGCCTTTCGATATACACTCGGCTAAACCGTCCGGTAGAGCGACCATTTGGCCTTGCTGGAATGCTGGCATCGGAATTTTAGTCAACTCAGCACAAGCCTCACCGAGTTTCGTGCAGAACGCAACACCGTGCTTGGCTCGACACACCGCAATTACATCCTCTGCAATTCACTCTTCTTCTAATTTATCTCCAAAACAACCGAAACTAACAAAATTTATCAAAAAATACCACTGAAATGCACCCAAATTTAAATCTATTCATGATTTACCTNTTTACCTCCCTATAAATTGTATCTCTCAAAATATTCTCTATTTTTTCGCACCACTCACAAACGATTAACGCTTAACCATTAAAGCTAAACAAATTCAAGAGATTACTAACCTCGTTGGATACACAACAGCACATTCCCAGGCAGTTTGCTGATCGCACCACCGTTATATACCGCGCCCATCATCGACGCACACGTGCCCACGAGAGAGTAGCAGAATCTGGCATCGTATTTCCTTACGCAGCTATCCAATTGTGCTTCTAAACATTCAATAGTCACATCAAATTTGCTAAAAAATATCTTTAACCACTCAAAATCCGCACAAAAATGTAAAAATTCCACCGAAACAACGCTATATTGCCCGAAATCATGCACCCTTTGGTAATATCCACCTATATCCTTAATAATATCCACCTATATCCTTAAGAATTTAGTGACATCCTTCGCTAATTTACTCATAAAGCATAAATAAAACTCGTTTGTATTATAAATTACAGATAATAAATACTTTTAATAACGTTATCATTAAAATAACGATGAATAAAACGTCCAAAACATAAAATAAGGGTTATAAAACAGAAATGATTTGGAGATAAATTAAGGACTAACGGTCGTTGAGGCATTTCACTTGATCCGCTGTCACGTCACCGTACGGACTCGGGATTTTGCAGATCTCCATCCAGGCATTACACCGTTGAATACAAT